CACCCTGTCCAGTGTAAGTTCTGTGGGTGGCCTGTTATTAGCGATAAGCAGGCCTTACACTGTGACATTCAGTTTATATAAAGGGGATATATAACGAAATAAATAAATAACACAAATATATACTTACTTGAATTATCTATGAGTTTACTATGGATTTATGTTCACGCGGCTGCTCAGGATTGCATTCCGGTCTTCAGAATAAGTTATCTTGTCTCGACCACTTCTTCTGTTATGATCTGCTATAGTTTTAGGTTTTTGATTTTGTATGAAGTCGATCGTCCAGAAAAATCCCATCATTTATATTGCATTTGAAGACAGTAATGGATGATCCTATGGACCAACTACCAACGGTTATTCGCAAACATTATCTGGGACGTGTGACTGATCAGGTTGACATGTGAGAGCATTGATGCAGCTATCCCAAAGACTCTCGGATAAGCTATGCTTTAACTTTACCCAGAGGCATGCATCACCCTGAAAAAAATGTTAAACTGAATAGTATAGAGCAGGGATAGCTCGGCCTGCAGCAAAGAATGCTGAACATTATTAAATAAAAAAGTTCTGATGTGCATATATATACTGAACCCTCTGGCACAGCAGGAAGAATTTTCTGATCGCTGCAAAGCATTTTTAGGATAAAAGAGAGAATGATAAATCCTTTTGATTGTTTGAGGGCTTGATTTAGCAGTTATTAGTTGGTCGTTTTGATTGTGTGCATTGTCCACATATCATCTTCAGTGTTAACCACCTTATGTTAAACATTGTGGACAAATATTGTTATATGAATTTCAGTTATAAACTACACACAATTATCAAAGCATAATTCTTCACTTTTATTTCCTTGCATAACTGTTTGGTCTTGCTTAATTTTCGATATCAATTTAGATAAATGAGTTTTGACTCACACCTGGCTTATATACCTCCAGAAATTCCACATTTCAGATGCAGGATTTACGCATATTGCAACATATTGTACAATTAGAAACAGTGAATAATTTAGAAGCTTTTTACTATTGATTCATATAATCACACGTCTTGGAAATGTACATGTCGCACACTCGGGCATTCGGAACACATGTTACCAGTCGAGATAAAAATGAAAAATAGAGCAATTCACGATCACAGCTGTTTGCTGTAACGAATATTAACTTAACTTATATACCACAAGTTTATATAATTTATCATTTTTGTTATCGTTACTTGCCCCCCCCCGCCCCACATACATTTTCAAAACTCAGAATATGCTTTTTTTCAACCGTTCATGCTTCGACTATGACTAGTCTGATAAGTGAATCAGTTACTATATACACGGATTGACGATGAGTCAAATTAATTTTAATTTCATAATGTTATTATTGTCAGGTGGATCAATGATTTGAGGGTGATATAAAAACAAATGGGGGAAAAGACATTCACTCAATAATACATGCTGTTTAACACTGTGGATTCTAATGGGGCCTTTCATGTGTACAACATGTCAATGTGTATTTGTCGCGAATACATGGTTAACAATTCTTTCAATTTGTGTTTCTAGGAAAAGGATATTATGGTGGTGGAAAAAAAATAATGACAATAATGGACCACTCTATCACCAGCTCAAAATACCCATGAATAAGCGAAGATAATATAGTGTGTTACGTGTTTTGTAATATTATTAGTATTTAGATGAACTGAAT